GTTCGTGCCATGAACCGGTACTAATGCCTCAAACCCCATTAGTACCGATTGGTGGCTCGAACCGGGACTAAAGGTCTAACCTTTAGTACCGGTTGGTGCCACGAACAGGTACTAATGGGGTTTGAGGCATTAGTCCCAGTTCGTGGCACCAATTTGGACTAAAAGGTCCAGACGAACCGGGACAAATGGCCCACGTGGCCCGGCCGGCCCCCTGGGCTCACGAACCGGGACTAATGCCCCCATTAGTACCGGTTCTGAATTGAACCGGGACTAATGGGCTGACCCGGCCTGGACCATTGCCCCCTTTTGTACTAGTGAGTCCAAAGCCCATCTTCATCGTATATTCATTGTGCACTCGTTGAGTTTCATCAACATTGTCAAAAACTATTCCAACAAAAGGAACAATTGGTCGTGACGATATAACTTCATCTGGTTCCTCAACAAGTGTTGTAGCATTTTCATTGTCATTGTTACCGGCATCTTGGGCATCGTCATGAGTTGCACCATCCATGTTTTGCTGCAAGGTGTCCCTCTATCCGTTCCTGGAGCATCATTCAGATCAATGCCATCATGTTCTTCTTGCAACACAACATTTTGCAGATCATCATCAAAGAAAATCGATGGCTCTGGAGGAACATTCCTCAACAGAAACAACGCCCGAGTCAACTTTTGTTGCTGCATCAAAAACCATGCAAAAATGTCAAACATAGTGGATGCAGCATCTGAAACACAACTCCATAAACAAATTTTTGTTGCTACAATCATAGCATAATGTTTTACAACCAACACACGTAGCATACTATTTTTCCAGGTTCTTTCTCCAACAAACATTTCGACAACGTAGTAGCATGTAGAACAGGGGGTCAAACATCTTGGAGCATGAAGTATGCAACATCCTTGCATTTTCATTATTTTTTGAACCAATTCTTTCATGTAGCATGCAGGATGTAGCATGTAGCATGTAGGATGTAGCGTGTGTTGGGGAACATAGTAATTTCAAAAAAAATTCCTACGCACACACAAGATCATGGTGATGCATAGCAACGAGAGGGGGAGTGTATCTTCATATCCTTGAAGATCGCTAAGCGGAAGCGTTTATCAACGCGGTTGATATAGTCGTACGTCTTCATGATCCGACCGATCCAAGTACCGAACGCACGACACCTCCGAGTTATGCACACGTTCAGCTCGATGACGTCCTCGCCTTCTCGATCCAGCAAGATGGGTGAAGTAGTAGATGAGTTCCGGCAGCACGACGGCGTGGTGACGGTGTTGGTGAAAAACAATCTCCGCAGGGCTTCACCTAAGCACTACGGAAACTATGACGGAGGATAAACTAGAGGGGACGGGGTTGCCTGCACACGGCCTGGTGTTTCTTGATCTGTCTTTAGTGCTAGCCCTGCCCCTCTATTTATATGTTGAGCCTTGGGGTCGAAACTTGGAGTAAAAGCCTCCACAAAGTCGGTTTCACCCGAAAGGCAAGAGTCCTTCTCGGACTCCAGGGCCAGACGCTAGGGTTCCCGGCGTCTGGAGCCAGACGCCAGGGACCCTGGCGTCTGCCCCCCTCGACACCGCAAAACTTCCTTTTGCGCTTTCCAAAAACCTTGTGGGCTTTCCCCTTTGGCCCAAATAACGTGTTCTCATACCCAAACATTTCGGGAAACATCCGGAACCTCTTCCGGTGAATTCCGGAACCCTTCCGGAGATCAAACACTATTATCCCATATATCAAACTTTATCTCCGGACCATTCCGGAGTTCCTCATCATGTCCATGATCTCATTCGGGACTCCGAACAACATTCGGTTACCAACATACATAACTCATATAATACTATATCGTCAATGAAACGTTAAGGGCCTCTTTGATTCGTAGGATTTTAAAAACGTAGGAATAGGAAAAGTATAGGGTTGGAGTGGCATGCTCACTTCAATCCTATAGAATTAGCAATGAGTGTTTGATGGCACAGGAAAAGCAGAGGAATTGTAAAAAGAGGTTGGAGTGGATGTTAGATTACCTATGAAATGTAGTACAAAAGATTCCATAGGAAAAAATCCCATGGAATTCAATCCTATGAATCAAAGGACCAACATAGGAAAAAATCCTAAGGATTTTAATCCTCCAGAAATCCTATAAATTTCCTTTGAATCAAAGGAGCCCTAAGCGTGCGGACCCTACGGGTTCGAGAACTATGTAGTCATGACCGAGACACGTTTCCGGTCAATAACCAATAGCGGGATCTGGATGCCCATATTGGCTCCCACATATTCTACGACGATCTTTGTCGGTCAAACTGCATAACAACATACGTTGTTCCCTTTGTCATCGGTATGTTACTTGCCCGAGATTCGATCGTCGGTATCTCAATACCTAGTTCAATCTCGTTACCGGCAAGTCTCTTTACTCGTTCCATAATACATCATCCCGCAACTAACTCATTAGTTGCAATGCTTGCAAGGCTTTAAGTGATGTGCATTACCGAGTGGGACCAGAGATACCTCTCCGACAATCAGAGTGACAAATCCTAATCTCAAAATACGCCAACCCAACAAGTACCTTCGGAGACACCTGTAGAGCACCTTTATAATCACCCAGTTACGTTGTGACGTTTGGTAGCACACAAAGTGTTCCTCCGGTAAACGGGAGTTGCATAATCTCATAGTCATAGGAACATGTATAAGTCATGAAGAAAGCAATAGCAACATACTAAACGATCGAGTGCTAAGCTAACGGAATGGGTCATGTCAATCACATCATTCTCCTAATGATGTGATCCCGTTAATCAAATGACAACTCATGTCTATGGTTAGGAAACATACCCATCTTCGATTAACGAGCTAATCAAGTAGAGGCATACTAGTGATACTATGTTTGTCTATGTATTCACACATGTATTATGTTTCTGGTTAATACGATTCTAGCATGAATAATAAACATTTATCATGATATAAGGAAATAAATAATAACTTTATTATTGCCTCTAGGGCATATTTCCTTCAGCGTGCAGCAAGTGGACTATATAGTTGTAACATTTTATTAGCAGAGATCACTAAGAAACATTTTACTAGCATTACTTTCAATTTTGGAAAATTCAGAATAATCAACACAAGTGTTGGACCACATTTTCTTCACGTGATGTTCATCAACTGAAATCAGGGTTCCAACATTTTTTTGTAAGAGAAAGGATCTAGGGTTTGGTTTTCGTACCAGATCAAACTCGTCCCGGCCATGCCGTGCTGCATCCTGGAAGACAACACCAGGGTTGATGTACCGTTGCAGCACCGGTACACTACCGCCAGCATCTTGCCGCCTTAGAGGAATTCAGCCATAGACGGCGACAAAGCTCCTCCCAGAGCTCGAGTCCAAATCCATGGTAGCAAGCAGATTTTCATGGATGTAAGACATGATTGAACCAATCCAAGGTCACGTGATAGATGGGGGAGCCCCTCCTCGAGCTCTTTCGGTCACTGGAAGCTAATACCCTGTGGATCCGACCGCCGCCGGCTCGGGTTAGTGACGGCCCGACGCGGGGCCATGCAGCTCCCCTGTTTCTCATTGTGGTGGTGGTGTGTGTGTGGGGGGGGGGGCAAAAAAACGGTTGCAACAATGTCTATCTATTTTGCTGCAATGGTTCAGTAGTGGGGCTCTGTCGTAGATCGCACGACCCTTAATCGCTGCATCGGGCGGTTGGGGCTCAATCGCCCCAATAGTTCGACCATACTGCTGGAGCATACCGACGCCCAAAAAACAAAGAAAATATAAAAAGAGGTCGGTGTAGATGTTTGGTTTCCTATGAAAATTAGTACAAGAGATTCCGTAGAAAAAATTCCTATGGGATCCAACCCTATATAGATCAACGAAAATACTAACGCCCACATGTGTGGGCATTTGCATCTCGCCCACATGCATGGATCAACGTCGGTTTGAGTTTGCACGAATCTTGGCATGTTTTGCCAGATTTTTTATGCCACGTAGGATTGGGCTGGTGTGTGGGCATTCATCCGGTCGCCCACACTTCTGTTTCCACACACCGAAGTGCTGGCGTGTGGGTGTTTAGCAGTTCGCCCACACACTAGTTTTCAACGCACGCAGAGGGGCTGGTGTGGGCGTTTATCAGTTTGCCCACACACTCGTCTCCTCTTCCACACCTAAAGCTATCAGTTGCCATGTGTTTTGCAGGGTACATGGAAACTGGCCTAGTATGCTTGTAAGCAGATGTCAACTCTCTCTTTACCCGAACATATTATTTTGCCATGTCTTTTTGTTGTGCTATATGGCAACTGCCTAGTGCTAGTAGGTGGCAACTCCTAAAGTTTTTAAATCGTGGCAACTATAGTAGACCAGATCACACATGGCAACAGCTGCAGTTGTCCAAGAATGGCATCTGACACTTGACCTGAGATGGCAACTGCAGTTGAGCAGCCATGGCAACTGTAGTTGTCCGACATGGCAACTGTAGTTCAGCAACATGGTAACTGCAGTTAAACGAACATGAAAGAGGGTCCGGACCATGGCAACTGCAGGGACGCGTGGTGACTGTCATGTGGGGCGTACAGGATCATGAGGTAGGAGGCCTGACGTACGGGCGCGTGGGCATTATCTATTTTGCCCACAAGTAGGCGTGTGAGAGGGATCGCGAAGCAAAAAAAAAGAGACGTGTGGGCATTATTTGTTTTGCCCACATGTAGGCGTGTGGGCTAGTTTTCTTACACAACACACAAAACGTGTGGCCTGACCCCTTAACGCCCAGGCGTTATCGGCGTCTTAAATCAAAGAACCAATGCAGGAGCCCTTAGATATATTTTTTGAGCATCCAAAGCCCTTAGATTTGTTTTTCCTTAGACATTCCACTACGGACCACATACGAAGTAAAATGAATGAACTACACTCTAAAATGCATCTATATACATCCGTATGTGCTTGATAATAAAATCTCTACAAAGACTTATATTTAGAAACTACACTCTAAGTTGTAACTTTGACATTGTAATACGGGAGCCCAGGCCCAATGAATCGAGTCACAAAATCACAATTATGGCCTGAGATGCAGCGTAACCGACTCACGGTTGTCGTAAAAAATAAATATAACGGTGATTCTAAAAGGAAAAAATGTATGCATCCGTTCCTGAAAGTCCCAATTCCATGGCCCTGACCCGTGAGGTCGAGATCGCATCGCCGCCGACGCAGACGATGGTCGGGCCCGACCGCCTGTCCGACCTCCCCGACGACCTTCTCCTGCGGATCCTCCACTACGCCCCGGCCAAGGAGGCGGCCTCCACAGTCGCGCTCTCGCGGCGATGGCGCTCGCCGCTCTGGTGCTCCTCTGGCGCCGTGAACCTCGAGACGGTTGTCGAGGAATACGTTCCCCGCGGCTGGGGGTACGAAGACAAACGCGAAGAATTTGACGAGGCCCTCTTCCTCTCCCGGCGAGATGCCTTCGTCTCCGCCGCCGAGGCGGCACTTGACGCCGCCGACGTCCCCATCACCAGGCTTACCCTGCGCTTCAACTTCATGGGTAGCTACGGATATAGCGTAGTAAAGTTTCTGCACTATGACCGCGATGAGTCCCGGCCGCCGGACCGAGGTGGGTCCCGGTCGCCCGACCCAGAAGGCTCCCGGTCGCCGGATCGAGATGGGTCACGGTCGCCTGACCCCGAAGGCTCCCGGTCGTCGGATGACGAGTCCGACGACCGAGATTGGTCGTCGGACGAAGAAGGGTCCCTCTCTCCGGATCAAGACAGGTCAGTCTCGCCGGACCGAGACTGGTCACAGCCGCCGGACCCAGACGTGCTCGGCAAGTTGCTCTCCCACGAGACGGTCCACCGTGTCGAGGAGCTCCGGTTCGTCGCGAATGAGTGCAGATGTGACATGTATGCCTACGACGATGACGACAAAATCTCCTCCAGCTCTGGGTCGGAAGGCATCTTGAGCCTCAGCCTCTACTCGCTGCCGTCGGTGGCCCTCCGTGTGCTTGAACTCACCGGCTGCAATAACTTCGTTACGCTTCTGCGGGCAGCCAGGTTAGCGTTCCCGTGGCTCCAGTCGCTGCGGCTGCGCCATTGTACCGTGCAGGTCGACGCTCTGCAGAGCCTCATCGATGCTGCGGCAGTGCTTACCGCAGTTCACTTTGAGTTTGTCATGATCGAACAACTCAACAACGAGATGACCCTCCGCTGCCCGACAGCAACCCTGATCGTGCTGAAGGGGTGCAATTGGAAGGAGAACGATAATCCATGGTGGGTCCACAACAAACCCGAGGAGCCCATGGTGATTGATGCGCCGAGGCTGCGGCGCTTCAGGTACAAGGGGCTTCTCCGGCCGTTCTCGCTGAGTCCGCAGCCACTGGACTTAGCTCAGGGGGACCTGCATTTTGTCCTGCGCCGTGGCAGAGATGGAAAGGAAGTTTGGTGCCACAACGGCGAGGGTCCACGCCGTGGCGAGCTCGACCTCGAGGTCTTCTGGCAATTCCTTCAGAGTTTTAGCACCGCCAAGGATCTAAAGCTGAGGTTGAACGCGCTCGAGCACATCGCCGTTCTAAGCAAGCCCATGCGCCTCAAGCTCCTGCCAACATTCCGCTGCCTCGAGCGCCTGGAGCTGCATGGATTGCACAGGCCCCAAGGCATGACCGCGGCTGTGGCGGTCGCGAATCTGCTCCGCTCCTGCCCCGTGCTCCGTGACCTCCGCATCAACCTCACCTTGGCATGCCACGATCAAGTGTATAGGTCTTGCGAACGCCGATTCCAGCGAAGAAAATTCCGGTCTGACCGCGACAAGTCCATCCATCTTGTCAACTGCAGCCGCAATTCTCCGAACACATACTACGACGACACTAGGTGTGGCGAGGCCTCTGAGATCCCTGCCTTGAGTCGGTGCTCGTTCAACTGCTTGCAGAGCACCATGAAGAGAGTGGGTCTACAGTTCCGGCTAGACGATGTAAACTGCTTTGGTGTCAAGCTGGTCAAATTCTTCGCCGAGAACGCGATGGTTCTTGAAGAAATGTGTATCGACGGAGGAAATGAGAAGTTGGGCGAGCACATGACTCGCAAGGTTGAAAGATGGATTTGTAATTCATCTATCAAGAGAAAGCCCGGAGCATCAAGCTTTGTGGTCGTGCCCATTAGGAGATGAATCTACCAATATTAATGTAAGTTAGCCTCTATTATGTGTGGCGTTTTGCCTAAGATAGATTTAATCGGAGAGTTTGGCTCCCACTTTCAATAACTCGTCACCGTGGTTACAGAAAAATATACTTCATCCGTCCCGAATTACTTATCACTCAAATGGATATCTAGATGGAGGGAGTAGTTAGCACTTGTATTTTCGTGGCTAATGTATACGAGGGTGGAAAATCAACTTTCTGACCCATTTTCTCCAATTTCTGGTGCGTTTAAGTCAAATTTATTCCAAAATGTTGCTCGTTGTGCTAATTGATCGTTGAAACCAGATATGTCATTTATTTTAGTTCAAAAGCAAGTATTAAAACCATGATTCGAGGTTTTGCAGAACATTAATCCATGCATGATGCTCTGCTTTGACTTTCTTGGATTCTTATATGGTCAATATTTCTATTTTGCGGGTGTATATGGTCAATATTAATGTACCATGTCTGTGTATTGTAACTATAAAAAAGTGTGTGCCTGAAAAATACCTACTACTACCATTTGAAATGAACAAACTGCACGAGGTCTCTTATCGAATAATCAAATTGAGTTCGGGTAACCGTGATTTAGGCCATGAAATATATTCGCTTCCCATCTTCAAATGATGAATTTTTATTTTGCACCCATCTTTAAATATACTCTGAACACCGCCTCCACCCTTCCTACTTAGTCGTCACGGAGCCTGATGTTTCGAAATTCTAATCTTCACGTACGTACGCTGATATGTTGTGTTGAGACTTATTTAGTCCTTGCATGCGTGCCTCCTTAGTGTTCTTTTGGCTGCCCCGATTGATTTTGGGTGGTAACCCACTTTTGTAACTGCGCGGTTATTGTAGTATACTTGCACTGTGACTTTGCTGGTCATAGCTTTATTTATACAGTCAGGCTATGGGCCTTATCAGAAAAATTCGTTTTGCATAATAAATCACCTCGGCGTGCCACGTATGCGGAGTATAGGCATTTAGAACGCCAATTCCTGGCTACAGAGGACAGACAGTAGCAGGCCGGGGAGTGAATTCACAATCAAAGTGCCAGAGGAATCGATGAAAATCTTCCAAGCGACCACGAGGTGAAGGCAAACAATGGACTAAACACGCTATTCTGGAAAGATCGGTGGCTGGACGGGAGGCGGATACAAGAGATTGCCCCAGCCATCTATGACACGATACCGCGCCATGTTAGACAAACAAGTTTGCTAGGCCAGATGGCGAGCAATGGATCGTGGGCAGCGTGCCTCAGCCCCAACTTGAGTATGGATGCACTTCAGGAGTTCTTACTGCTATCGCAGAGGGTCCAGACTTGGGAACCAGTAGGGAATGTCTCAAACGGGTTAGCATGGTCATGGGAGACCACTGGACAGTTCACAGTGAGATCAGCGTACGCAGCTATGTTTTGGGGCAGGGAGGTTATTCCCACAGCAGAGTTAACTTGGAAATCGCGAGCTCCATCACAATGCAAGTTTTTTACGTGGCTGGCGCTACAGAACAGGTGTTGGACGTCTGAATGGCTTGCTAGGAGGGAGCTGCCGCATCAAGTGCCCTCTTTGTGACCAAGAGGAATAAACAATAGACCATGTTTTACTAACATGCGTCTTTGCCAGGACGATTTGGACGGAGGTCTGTAGGGCATTGGGGAAGCCAAAGTGGACGCCAACTACGCAGGATGCCCTTCAACCATATGGGTATGTGGAAAACAAGAAGGAGACACCATGACCAGGAAGGATCTACACACTTTCCTGCTACTGACATTGTGGGAGTTGTGGAAGTATAGGAATGCAGTTGTGTTCGATGGTGCCTCGCCATCAACTGGTCGTCTCATGCAGAGAATTGAAGCGGAAGGACGGATTTGGTCGAGGTCTGGACTTATGAAAGGAAACGTAGATTTTGTGTTTGCAGACTTAGCAAGGTGGTATGAGTGTGAGAAATAACAGCACTTCTAAATGACCGGTGGAGGCTTTCTATGCCTTTTCTTCTTTAATATATGATATGCACACTCGTGCATATTTGAGAAAATAATTCCTGAAAAGGAAATTCCGGTTTGACCGCGGCAAGCCATCCATCTCGTTAGCTAGACAGCACAGGCTATGGCAGGGCCTTTGAGATTCCTGACTGCAGTCGGCCCTCGTCCGACTTCTTGGAGAGCTCATTGAAGACGGTGGGTTTGTAGTTCCTGTTAGGATGCAAACTGCTCTGGAGTCAAGCTATTCAAATTCTTGGCCGAGAATACGATCGTTCTTCAAGAAATGTGTATCGGCGATGGAAATAAGAAGTTGGACGAGCACATGACTCGCAAGTTAGAAATATGTACCTCTAATTCATCTATCAAGAGAAATCCCGGCGCCTCAAGCTTTGTGGTCGTGCTCATTATTAAGACCAGAGATAGGTCCCGCACATGTGGCTGCTGGACTTAGCAGGGGCTGGCGACGCCTCCTGTCACAGTGGTGGTCATGACACCGGCGTTGCCCGCCGGAAGCAGTGTTAGGTTCCACTTGCCCCAGGCGGCCTTGGCCAGATGCACGGCTCCCCGATCTTCGGGCTGCGGCGGTGGCCTCATTGCAATGCAGTAACCTAGACCATCAAAAGAACTTCGTGAGGATTACTCCATATACGATGGTTCTCTACAATGGTGAGATGCGACCTACGGACCATGACTTGAGGAAAAAGTATGATTGTGCAGCGGCGGTAGCTGCTGGGATCGTGAAAAAGCGGCGGCGACATACATGTGTAACTTCATGGTGATGCTCGACTACTCGAGCACCTGATCTTGAGCTTCAGGGCGAAAGCCTAGGTCTGACCGGAGGTGGTTATACCTGGCAATGGAGATTACCTTGTTGAAGGCATTATTTGGATATGCTCGGACTGCTTCTTCAGGATGAAAACCTAGATTCCAGTCTTGGTGGTTGGATCTGGTGATGACGGCGCTTGAGTATCACTCCCTTTCTGAAGGCGTTGCTGTTGACGAATCTCGTCGTTCGTATGGTGTCATTAGATGATTGGTGTGGATATGGTCATTTCTGTAGTTTGCGCTCGCAGATCTGATTGCTTCAGTCTTTTTTCCTCTCCTACAAGTAGCTTTGGTCGTATATGACTTTGCTATTTGCTGGCGTGTTTTTTGCGTATGTTGGTGTTGGCTGTGTGCATTCTAGATATGCAGAGGCCAGGTGTGTACTCACTGTGTTTGTATCCACTTGATGCTTCATTTTGAGTAATAAAATCTACCCTTCGTCGAAAAAGGTGGTGTTTCTCTTAAGGACGAATGAATCATTGAGTTAATCTCTCACTTTCATCCAGCTCTCTACCAAGCAATCCCGGGAGATGGGGTGACAAAAAAACCATCTGATCTGGGTTTTTTCTTTTTTACAAATCGGCGATTCCTCGTCCTCCGGCCTCAGGACTTCGATGGCGCGACACTTGTGGATACTCCGGCCTCTTTCAGGTGGAGGTGGGATGACATCCCACCATTCTGTTACCGCCTTTTTGGCTTGGCATGGAGTACTAACAGATGCGATAATTGAATGACCGGTGATCAAGATGTTGATTGTAACATCACTTCATCCACGGAGTGAAAGCTCTTGTCCTGGTCTCAGTTGGTCTTCAGTATGAACTTGTGTAGTTACCTTGTTGAAGGCATTGTCTACTTTTTTTTTTGCGAGGGTAAAGGGATTTTATTCCATAATGATAGGGCTACAATCACGAGACAATTGCTCCTCACAACATGGAGGACACGAGTTCAGCCATACCGCAGTACAAGTTTCTGTACGACTATAGTTTGCCAATTGATGTGCTACCCTATTCTGATCTCTGCTAATTTTTAGAGGAACAAACTCCCTAGCTACCAAAAGATCCTTAATCTCATAAGCTAGATGACCATAGGCTGACCTAGAAAGAGTATCACCCGTGAGGATGGCCAAAGCATTTGAAGGCATTGTCTACTTACTGTTGTACTAGCCTTCATTGGCTAGTATCAGCAGTCAGGATGAAAATTCTTGTCTAGGTCGTCTCTGGTAGGACGTGACGTTGATGACGCATGGACACTTATCCCTTAATAAAGGCATTGGTGTGAAAGTAGTCGACTTAAGTATAGGTGTTTCTTTCGTATCTTGTAATGGTTTCTCCGTGGTAGTTTTTTTTTTTCTATACTCTACTTAGTAATTAATAAGAATGGATGTCTGCAATGCAATGATAGAGATGTTGGGAGTTTCAACCTCCTTTTTGGAAAGAAAACTCACTTTCAAGTAGTCACCATGATTACAGAAAAAATAATCGTGCATTATATTCTGGTGGCTAATGGATTTCTGAAAAATTCAAATTTTCGATAAATTTCGTCATTTGTTTTTGCATCCGAGTCTAATTTGTTCCAAAATATTAGCTGATGTGCTAGTTGACCACTGAAACCAGAAATATCATGTATTTTGGTGGTGGCAGAAACATTTGCAAAACCTTATTTTGGTGAAATTCAAACAACACTGGACACCTCAAGAAACCCAACGGCAGCATATCTACATTACATGATTCTCCACGGTGAACTGTATTAGCGGAGGAGAAAAGGTCACTTGCCATTGTGCTGTGCCGGACCCGAGACCATCAGGTGGAACCATGGAAGTAAACGAGTATATAAGATTTAAATGTGCAATACTTATGGCATATCTAAATGTGCTTTAGCAAAACTGAATAAGTATTGATTTAGGACACATATTACTGGATATTTGGAATATCTATCTAGGAACATCTCTTTTCTTTTCTCTCCTATCTGCCCCCATATCTAAAAACTGGACAAGTCTAGGGAGCTGCCGGCTGCTCGCTGGCTGTCCTGAGCGGCCAGCATAAAATGAATTTTTTTGGTTCCTAATCTATTAAAGGTAATAATTTGTCCCTTCTAATTGACATAAGAAAATTTCTAATCTATATATTCAAAAAAGGTACCATGTAAATAGAAAAGTATTAAGAACATCCATGTGAAGAGCTGTGA